CAGGAGGTCGTTGCTCTTCGGTTCTCATCACCTCCTCCATAATGCCAGGAGGGATTAAATTAATGCGACCATTAACTAACGTTTTCCCTGTCGCTACCGAGCCGTTTCAGAGGTGCTTTTGTGAAACCACAGCGCTCTGCCCGATAAAATGAAAGCTTTTGCGGGGTTTTGCTGTAGCCTGATGCTTAAGCTTTGCTTGCAAGCAGGAAGCAGTGACCGTAATCTAATATGGAAATGGCTCTCTTCCAGGTCAGAGCGGAGCAGGAAACAACTGGGCAAAGGGCCATTATACGGAAGGTGCTGAATTAGTTGATTCTGTCTTAGATGTTGTAAGAAAGGAGGCAGAAAGCTGTGATTGTCTCCAGGGCTTTCAGCTTACTCACTCTCTCGGTGGTGGTACAGGCTCTGGCATGGGTACCCTCCTCATCAGCAAAATTCGTGAAGAGTACCCAGACCGAATTATGAATACTTTCAGTGTTGTACCCTCCCCTAAAGTGTCAGATACTGTAGTAGAGCCCTACAATGCCACGCTCTCGGTGCACCAGCTTGTGGAGAACACAGATGAAACATACTGTATTGATAACGAAGCCCTCTATGACATATGCTTCAGAACACTGAAGTTAACTACTCCTACGTATGGTGATCTGAACCATCTCGTGTCGGCAACCATGAGCGGTGTTACCACCTGCCTGCGATTCCCGGGCCAGCTTAACGCTGACCTGCGGAAGCTGGCCGTAAACATGGTTCCCTTCCCCCGTTTGCACTTTTTCATGCCTGGTTTTGCCCCGCTCACGAGCCGTGGGAGCCAGCAGTATCGTGCTTTAACTGTGCCAGAGCTAACGCAGCAGATGTTCGATGCGAAGAACATGATGGCCGCGTGTGACCCACGTCACGGCCGCTATCTGACCGTAGCTGCTGTTTTTAGAGGCCGTATGTCTATGAAAGAGGTTGATGAGCAAATGCTGAACGTTCAGAACAAAAACAGCAGCTATTTTGTCGAATGGATTCCTAATAACGTTAAAACAGCCGTCTGTGACATTCCACCTCGTGGCCTGAAAATGTCTGCCACCTTCATTGGTAACAGCACGGCCATCCAGGAGCTGTTCAAGCGCATTTCTGAGCAGTTCACGGCCATGTTCCGCCGAAAGGCGTTCCTGCACTGGTACACGGGCGAGGGCATGGACGAGATGGAATTCACAGAGGCCGAGAGCAACATGAACGACCTGGTGTCTGAGTATCAGCAGTACCAGGATGCCACGGCCGAGGAGGAGGGGGAGTTTGAGGAGGAGGCTGAGGAAGAGGCAGAGTAAAAGCTATGCAGATGAACACCTGTAAATTTTGTTTAAAGCTGTATGAACTCTTTCATTCAAAACTTCTCTGTCTGTGTTGTGTTCCTCTCCTTCTCTCAGAGTCACTTCAGATGCTGTACAGGCACCATTAAAGCATTTTTCACAGTGCACAACCTCGTCTCTTTTGTTCCTTTCGGTAAGCTTGCCGGGTGCTGTTCCCAAAAGTAAGCGCGCAGGTTTGTTGGAGCTCTGGAAAAGAGAAAGAACGGAGTCGGCTGAGCTCTGCCAGCTTGCCTGTGGCAACCGCGCTTCTCGCCCCGCCTTCCGCCGAGCTGGGTGCCTGGTGTGTCGCTGGCTGTGGAGGCAGTCCTGCTCGCGGTGGTGGTGTGGGAACTGGAGGGACTGGTGCTAGCAGAGGGGGTACGCTTGACAGGGAGGCTGGAATTCTGCTCCAAGCTGCATCTAAATTTAGGGACCTGCATGTGGATTCCTGTTACAGGCTTCCCTCTTGGCAGGAGCCGAGCAGCTCTGAGCATTATGGGAGCAGAGGTTCAGACGTGGGTGCCTAAGCTTTGCCTTAGCCCGGCTGCCCGGGCAACGAAACGGCGTGGGCAAGTAGCCTTTCTGGTCGGGGGGTGTTTCTGGCAGATGAGCTGCCCTCGGCCTGGTGCGCCGCAGGCGGCCGTGGCTGTCGCGAGCTGCGCCGCACCCATGGCCTGACGGAATGTTCCCACGCAGGCAGCTGCGCTGGAGCCGCTTTTTGAAACCGCGCGCGTGAAGGTTTTAAAGGGAACTCAACGGGGTGTTACTGCAGCCTCTGCCTGTGAAGTGACCTCCCCCCCTGACGCCAAATCACACCGTTCTGCCTCACGAACACCCTCTGTTAGCAAAGGAGACTGACTGGAAGCGGTCTGCGTGCTCGGTGTTGGCTGAAGTGACCAGTCTGTCGCCGAGCAGCCGGACAGGCCCCGCAGGCGACTCCCCTGCTGCAGAACGGCTGTGCAGCGAGCTCTGGGTCGCTTTTCCTGTCTCACAAAGTCTCTCCTTGCAGAACCGAGCCGGTTGGAGCGGTTAAAGTTGCGCTGACTGTGGTGGCTCTCGGGGCAGGGGACATCAGCCTGTCCACAGGGACAGGCGGACGGTTTCAGCACTACACGGGGGAACGCTTCCGTAGGTGAAAACTTAAAGCAGGAAGCGGCGCTTTAAGCAGTTGGGTTTTGTCCCTGGTTTTAAGGTGGGTTTTTTTCTTCCTCCTCCTCCTCCTACCGAAGCCGGTGACCCCTGGCCAGCCGGTTACGGAGGGGAGGGCAGTGCTGTCCCCCCAGCACCCTCGGTGCGTCACCCTCCCACGAAGGGCTGCGGCTGCTCTCCCCAGCTCTCTGCAGGAGTCCCAGTCACCCTGAGGTTCACAGCAGCCTTTCTCCAGGGGCTTGAGCCGTGGGGAGTGAGACCGCAGGGAAAATGGGCACCCGAAATAGCCCCGAGCTGCCACCGGAGGAAAGGGACAGGAGAACATGTGGCACTGGGGACCATCTCCCCTGGGGCTGCAGTGTGGTGGCAGGCCCAAACCAGCATCCTTCTCTTCATCTCAGATCCAGGGCCTGTCCAGCCTCACCCTTCTCCACCACTAAGATGCTTCCACCCTTTCCCTCAGACCACCCCTCAAGCTCCTGCTGACTGGCCGTGTGTTAAACGGCTTTTTCTGTGCGGCTTTCCCGTGCCCCTGCTAGCAGTCACAACATTCTCCCCTCCAGGCTCAGCCTTGCTACCAGCTGCAGTCCAATCCCGCCAGCAAAGCTGTTCTCCCACTCTTCGCTTTCATTTCTACCGCATTTTGTGTCTCCTACCGTTTTCCTCCCCTGCCTGGCATTAGGTACAAGCTGTGAGTTTGGTTCTTCTCTCCATGATTTCCCATCCCGCACTGCTGAGCTGGGGGCTCTTGACTCGCTGTGGCCAAAGACAGCAGCATCGGCTGCTGCTTTGTTGAAATTCTGTCCTGATCCCTTAATGCTTTCAGGTGCATGGGCAGAGCTTCCCCTTAACAACACAGAATTGCTTTCTCCACACCTCTCCTTTTGAGCAACGCCAGTAACCACCAAGGATCAGGCAGATGGTATGGGGTGCCCAGAACCCATCTCGATGGCTAATACTGTTTCACTGCTCTCTGCTGTCTCACCCCTTGTGGTTTTTTCCTCAGCTTTTTAGAAGAGAATCGCTTTCCTGACCAGGAAATTGTAACGCGCCCGTGGAACAGGCAGGGAGTTGGTGGCTGGAAACCAGAGAACGTTCTGCACAAGTCCAGGCTGGCAGCGAGGATGATGGGCTCTCCTGCAGACAGGCAGGGGATGGCTCAGCTCCAGCACCTTGGCACAGACTGGAAAAACCATCTACTACCCACGTGGCACATTTCAGTAACTGCTCACTACTACGACACTACAGCTACTACAGCGCTACTTAATGCCAGTAATTGCGTTTCCACTCAGCTGATGAACCTACCCGGTATGAAGCCCTTGTAGAAAGGTATCTGTCCAGCACTGGTGTAAATTCTCTTGTTAGGCCAGTATGTTTGGGGAAATCTCTTGCCAAAGCTGTAGGCTGGGTTCCTCTGAAAAAACTGGGAAACAAACAAAAAAACCCCACAAAGTAAGTTCATTCCAATCCATACTGTTGTTACCAAAGGCCCGCTTTGATGGTGCATTAAAGGGAATACTTAAGCCAATGTAAAGCAATTCTCTTTCCAGTTCTGTTTTCTTCTAATCAGGAGCTGCACTGCCTCTTCCCTTTTTCCATGCTAAGTTTTCCCCGCTGAGTGTTGGCAGCGGCCCTCGGCAGTGCTGCTGCTGCTAGCTCGCACCCCCGGGGCACCGGCAGCTCCTGGCCCAGGCATGGTCCTCGGGATCTCTGCAGACTGGGCACATCCATCCCCTTTGGGCATCCTATGCCAGTCCCTGTGCTGCTCCTACCCTTGATGTACCGTGAGCAGCTGGAGTGGGTCCGTGCCTCACCTGCACCTCTGCTACGACCCTGCACATCTCTGCTTTAGTTTGACCCCTTCAGCTGTTTTGTTTTTCCATGAGTCCCACTGATGGTGATTAGCCAGTAATTCCCAGGCTAGGATGAGCAGGAAGGCTTAGGAAGCGCTAACTGGAAGGAGAGTGTGAATCACTCCTAGATCTGCTGCCCTCCGAGGTCAGGCCCAGGCAAGGGGCTGTGCCAGAGGGTGGATATTGCAGCTCTGCAGTGGCCAAAGGTGTCACTAAATCCGTGTGCCCTCCTGGCACACACCCTGCCCGGTGCTGGAGGGACAGGGTTCACGGAGCCGAGCGAGCCATCGAACCCTTTTGTGGCTGATGGAGGAGGGATGCTGCAGTTCCTCAAGCGCAGCACTGAAGCGCGAGGATTGCATTATTTTTCCTGATGCGGAGTGTAAGCAGTGATCCATGGCACATCCCGGAATGTAACCTAGGGCAACGGAGATCTAGGGCAGAAGATTAGTGGCTGGAAGTCAGAAGCCATCTTAGATAGAAATGTGGTCTGATTATAGGGTTTTTAGCACACTCGTATTCCTTCAGTGCCTGATGTGCTGCAGCCAACCTCCCTGAGCCTGGATTCTGCCGAACCCTGCGGTGGAGAAACACCTCCCTCGCCGATTTACTGCGTGGCAGACGTTTCCTAAGTAATCAGGGGCAGAAGGGCTTTGCAAACAGCACGTTTAGGTTTGATAACGGCTGGGGTTTGTTCTTTTTGCTTCGTTTCAACTCCTATTAACGGCAGAAGGAAAGGCTAGGGAAACCAGCGCAGGGAAATACGTTTCAGCCAGAGCATCAGGCTGCCATGAACACTGCCAGCCCTGCTGCTCTCCCTGCTGAGTCATTTCTTCCCGGTTTCCCTGAGCTGGGGATCCTCAATCGTGAATTTTCTCTGCATCAGACCCGTATGCTCTAGGATGAAGGCACCGCGGTGAATCCCGGTGACCAGAAAGGGCTGGAAATGTTGTAACTTGCTTTCACTGAGCTGATCATCCCTCACCAGCGCTGGACCAGCGAGAAGGCTGCGTCCCAGGGACCTCGCTCCAGCCCGGTAGCGGGGAGAAATGTGTGGCTTTGCATGCAGACGATTAACTGCTGGGGGAGGGATCCCTTTCCCGTGTAGAAGGATCATATGGCATTATATAGGGAGATCTTACAAGCAAGGGGATGAAAGATTTTTTCAGTAGGGATGTTTCTGCATCTGTCTTAAAGGGAGGAGAAAGAAGATGTATATCCCTTTAAGACAAATTATGATAGTAAAGGAAAAAGCCTTACAACCAATTAAAAGGGAGCGGGATCCATCCAAGCTGCCCAGGAAGCCATCCAGGTAGAGAAGAGGGATTGCAAAGGGAAGCCCACATGGCTGCATCCTGTGTTTCTGCACTCAGAGCGACATTTTTAAGAGCCACCCTTGAACCAACCCTCAATGGATTTGCTTAATCCTTTTACGAACTCATTTATCCTCCCTTAATGTCCCAAGGAAACAAGTTACAGAATTGAATTGCTCATGATTTTTTCAAGATGTTACCTAATAGCATTTTGTTTTGCTTGTACTTACAACCCCGGCTCTAACACGGCTGCACATGAAACCGCTTTCAGCGTTGCAGGTGAATCAGTACCAACGTCATGTTCTTGAAACGAGGGCTGCGGGTGTCACCTACCTGATGGCGGTTGAATTCGGTCATGGCTTCCATCACGGCCTGGGTGTAGTTCACACCACTGATCAAGGTGAGGCAGGGGATGAATCCAGTGTACCCTTCGGATGGAGACAAGAGAGAACATACGTATCTATCAGGATCAACCAGCCTGGAAACGGAGGAGACTGGGATAAATATAAAGCCCTGGCAGAGTATGGGAAGGGAAAATTCACTGTAAAATTAACTCTTGCATGTGAGGGGTCTTTTCTGATAAAAGTCCTTTTTTATCATTCCCAAGGAAAACTCAATGGGTTGAACTGATCTTGTTGGTGTCCATGGGGTATGGAAGAAACCTTTCTTACAGCCGTCTTCAAGCCGACAGCTCTGTTGTGTTCTCTCCCAGTTTAACACACATTCAGGGACTAACAACTGCTGACCGACTTCCGGTCTCCTTTGCCCTGCCCATCCAACAGATTTTCAGTTATTTCAAGACACAAACTATATAAAGTCTAAAACAACATTAAACCAGAGAGAGGTACAAGTAAAAGCAGCCAGAACTGCCTCTTCCTGAAGGGATGCTTTGGAGTGAGTGTGTTTTGCCTTCTGCATCCCAAAACATCGCTCCAGTTTCACTGAGTCTGAAATATTTTGTGATGCAACCCTTTCTGGTTTGCCGCAGAGCCATGCACCCCTCCTGCTGGTGTCGTACCCTCCAGTGGGGAGCCCTTTGGAATTCTGCTTGCAGGGGAACACTCTTCCAGCACAAGTGGAGGAGTTAGTGTATAACTCCTTGTAAGACAGTTGTAAGAGGCACCACTGTGTGTTGATTTGCTGATTCAGACAAGCACCTTATTGCCAGGAGAGAAACACCCACCCCGACGGTAACAGATACCCATGGAGCCGCTGGGGTTGGGGCAGAGCCATGACCCATCTCTCCTCGCTTTCTGGAGCATTTTCTAGCCTGGCCCCACAGCTGTGGGGAACTGCGGTGGCTCCTGCACCCCTTCCACCTGCCCCTGGGCACGTGTCCCTCAGCGCGAGATCCACGGGGGTGACAGCATCCCCAAACAACGCCCTGGCATGGGGAGGAGCAGGGGCACTTTCCATCCCAAAGCGTTCAAACGAGCTAGAGATACTGGACAATGCCTGAGATTTCCCCGGGGGGAGGAGGGTGACACGGTTTCCTCTGAGCTGGACTCATGCGGGGCACGACCTCCCTCTTTTTTACCTGGAATGACTTTCTGTTGGATCGCATTTGGTACATCCAGCTTTGGCAACCAGTTATCTTGCTCCATGCCTGCGGTTTCAGCCACTCCTTCAATTTTTACGGGCTCAAAATAAAAGCAGAAATAAATGAAACACCAGTAAAACCTGCTTTCTCCTTTGGCCCCATTGCTTAATTCACTGCCAGGACCTGTAGATGGCAACTGCCATTTCCATGTCTTCCCGACTTTATAAGGGCTACTCCAAGAATTTCTGGTAAAGTCAAATTACTAGGCGAGCTCTCCACAGGCAGGGGTTTTGCAAAATCCCCAGGGAGAACACGGGGAGCTTTGGGTGC